CACTCATGTGAACAACTGATGTCCAACTCTTCATGACCCCAAGGACCATAGCTCCTTCCATCCTCCACGATCTCCTAAAGTCTGTCCAACTCATATTTCTTGCTTCCATGACATTATCTATCTTTATAACACTGAGCCTCAATTATCTCATGTGTTAAATGAGAGAATTGAACTGGGCAACCATTAAGATCTTTTCCATCTCTAAATCTGTGATCTTGTGATGCTTTTTATGATATAGAAAAGCATACCAGCAATCTCTCATTGGGTACTGACTGTACAGTGACCCCCTCCCCTCTAACCAAGAGGCTTGCTATATATGCAACTGGACCACAATGTTGGAAACATGAGATTGAGTAAGCCAGTTAAATAATGGCTTACCTAAGACAACCATATGAGGTTTCCTGAGATAACTTGTATCTTAACTCTGCTGACTTTTACTGGAAGGATGCAAAACCCAGAACTGTGTCTAAAATGGATTGGACAAAGGCAGGCCAAAGAAAGAAAGCAGCTTATGTTTAGTATAAAGAGATCCTTAAAATTGTAAGTGGTTTCCATCTATCACAGAGCATAAAAAAATGGATAAATTTGACTTTCATTCACTATATAAATCAAACCTTATTCTGATGATGCACTTAGCAGCCTATTAGGGGCAATCATTCACCTATTACCAGCTGCTTAAGCAATGGAGTAGAGGTAGCTTTGTTGCCCAACAGTTGTAGCTTTTGAGGGCCAGATGTCAATTTAACCAGAGTAAACATGTCCTGATTTGAATACAGTTTTTCCTAAATTTAAGAGGTTTTTTTTATTTCTTTTTGTTTTGTTTTTGGTTTGGACCCACGAATCATTGTGTGTGAAACTTCCTAAGTGGGAACTACTGCCATCAATTCAACTTAGCAACTCATCTGAAACTCCATCCATTGGTGCAGATTTGCAAGCCATCTCTACATCATCATCGTGGAGGCTTGCCTGGGGTGCCAACTTGGTCATGGAGCTGCTTTTGTTGTTGTTCAATAGTATCCAACGCTTCATGACCCCATGGACTATAGCATGCAAGGCCCTTCTGTCCTCCACTATCTCCTGAAGTCTGTCCAAGCTGATCTTTCTGACTGCAAGGCTGGTCTTTTCTCTGTTACATCGCACTGCCTTTCTATGGTGATAGACTCGTTGTAAATGAGCTCCTGGAAGTCTGGAATGGGATGTAGCCTCTAATTCTCTTGGTATAGCACCTAGTCACTACAGGAACTTGGAGCAAGTGGAAAAGGTGAACGTCTTCCAGAGCTCTGAGTGTGGAGCCAGAAGTTGAACAGATGTTGGCTGGATAGGACACATGATGTGTTTGTCCCTCTGCCTATGACATTCCTCTGCAGACCGTTTCCATCTGTATTCACAGTAATCCTTCATTGAGCTTGCTGATAATTGAACTGTTAACTCGAGCTTTTCTTTCCTCCTTATTTTAAGGCTTTATATCCTAACAGAACAGCTGCCCTTTCTAAAAACAAGGATACAATAATGGTTTATTTGATGCATGCCAGCCTTGAAAACTAAATATTCGGTTAAGGGAGCCAGCAGGCCGTTTCATTGTGTCTTTAGCTAGAGAATTAAAGTGTCCATTTCACCATTCAGAAGCCATGGGCTAAAGGAAGAAATAATGAAAACTGGGCATGTTTTTGAAGTATTTCTTTTTTGCGAAAGAAAACCACTTCAATTTCTAAGTTTTCATAGAATTGGCCCTGTCATTATACCTTTTACATAAGGGTGATAAAATGGTATTCATGTCCCTTTTCTTTCTGTTTAGCCTAGTTTTCACTCATAGACTTCTTGTATACTCATACTAATAGTGCTTAATAATGGAGATGCTGTTTCAGAAGGGGAGTAATCATGGAACAGTCATACAGTGCGTCCTGTCTTCTCAGAGCATAGCCGAGAATGGATTTCCAATATGTGAGAGGTGGAGATGGTCACCCAAGCCATTGATTTCTCATTAATAATATGGCTTTTGTTGTCATTGCTATTAAGATGTTTTTTCAGTTGTCTGACTCTTTGTGGTCCCATTTGAGGTTCTGTTGGCAGAGATACTGGAGTGGTTTGCCATTTCCTTATCCAACTCATTTTACAGATGAGGAAACTGAGGCAAACAGGGTTAATCAACTTGCCCAGAGTGACACAGCTATTAAGTGTCTGAGGCCAGATTTGAATTCAGGAAGATCAATCTTCTGACTCTAGACCTGGCACTCTATCCACTGAGATACCTCAGTGGATATTATTATTACTTAATATTATTACTATATTTTAAAAATATATTTATTTTGTAATAAATTTTGTAAAATTTATTTTGTAAACTAATTTTGTAAACTGTAATGATCTGGATCCTTTTTGTTGTTATTGTTCAGTCTTTTCAGTCATGTCTGACTCTTCATGACCCATTTGAGGGTTTTCTTGGTGAAGATACTGGAGTGGTTTGCCATTTCCTTCTCCAGCACATTTTACAAAGGAGGAAACTGAAGCAAACAGGGTCAAGTGACTTGCATAGGCAGCTAGTAGGTGTCTGAGGCTGGATTTGAACTCAGGTCTTCATGACTCCAGGCCCGGTACGATATGTACTGTACCATCTAGCAGCCCCAATCTAGCCATAGGATCATAGATTTAGAACTGAAATGGACCTTAGAGGTCATTGAATCTGACCTCTAAGTTCATATATGAAGAAACTGAAGCCCACAGCAATGGAGTGACTTACTTGTAGTCATAATGGTAGAAGTTGGCAGAATAAGGACCTGGCCCCTGGTCTTTTGATTCCGCATGCAGCCCTCCTTCCACCACACAATGCTAGGTCAGTGTTCACCTTCTCTGACTTAACAGCAGCATCGATGCCCTGATGCATTTAAGTGACTCCTGAAAATATCCTGCCATTTTTCTCAGCTCTAGGCAATGAATTGTGGTGTTGTGAAAACAGCAGGATGCTGAGTTGGTAGACTGAGCCCTGACATTTACCGGGGTGACCTTGAGTCATTCAATTTGGCTCTCTTTATGTCATCTATAGAATGGTGATAATAATAATACTTGCCCTATTTACTTCAAAAGGTTGTTGTGAAACAAATGCTCTATAAGCTATAAAGTGTTGTATATCTGGAGCTATTGTCATCTGTTTCAAAAACCCATACCTATAAACACTCCTTTGCCTGTTCTTCCCCTCTGTCTCTGAGCTGTTCCATCGCCGCCAGGTATTTGTACTGTTCTGATGCACATTGTGATATGAGCTCCAAAAGGCTTAGTCAGCCAGACCAATCAGTGCTCTGGACTCTTAACATCTTTTCTTTTTTTTTTTTAATTTAAATTTTTTTTTTTATTTTTAGGCAATTGGGATTAAGTGACTTGCTCAGGGTCACATAGCTAGTAAGTGTCAAGTGTTTGGTCTGAGGCCAGATTTGAACTCAGGTCCTCCTGACTTGAGGGCCAGTGCTCTATCCACTGCGCCACCTAGCTGCCCCTGGACTCTTAACATCTTAAGGGGCAGGTGTTGGCTCCTAAGTTAGTCTAATGGCAAACAATTATTAAACACCTATTCTATGCCAGGCTGTATGCTAGGTGCTGGGGATCCAGAAGCAGAGACAGAATATTTCTGCCTTCTAAGAGCTTCCATTCTATCAAGGGAAACAGTGTGTCCCCATGTAATTTTATCCTGCTAATACCGTAAATTATTCGTGTGCCTCTTTACATTGTCTTCCAGAAACTTCCAGTCAGATGAATTATTCACAGTTTTCTTTTATCTAGGACAATGAGTCCCTTCATTGGCACTGATAACCTTGAGTACACTGGCTCTTTTTTCAGAAATCAAAGGTCTGAGGTTGCTACTTTCCCTGAGAGAGTTGAATGAAAGTTTTATCTGAAATGACATCTTTTGAAGATATTGTCCTATAGCTTCCTACCTAAATATCTACATATATTTATATGTAAACATTTGTGTGTATAGTTATGTGAGGATACAGACATATAAATATGAGAGATTTGCATGCTTGTGTGCTTATATTATCAAACTAAATATATGTAAATGCATATATAAAATATATACATATCACATGATACATATATTGCATATACCCACATATATGCACAACATATCCCCTTATAACCACATATTCATTTTACATGCACATAATACATATACACACGTATGCCTATATAGACACATACATGTATAAACAGATACACACTCATATACATACACAAATATACCTAGAGACATACCATATGTATACCTATATAGGCACATGTATGCACACATAGAGATACTAT